GGGGGGAGTAGGAGACGGTGAGTGAGGAACACCGACAAGAGGAAACCAGAGACGGTGGCGGAGGGTAAAACGGGGTGGCTGTCTCGCTACCACTTTTCGTTTCCGAGGACTGCAGGGGATGAACCCTTGTGGTGTAACCATGTGATACTACACACAAAGAGAGGGATAGATAGAGACGAAGAGTGGGAACATTAAGCGCGATAGTGAGAGCCCGGCCAAAGAACGAGACAAAGAGAAAAATGGGGATTCGAGACAATGTAAGGGTGGAGTGTTCGAATCCGAGGCGAGAGTGAACGAGAAAAGGAAGACGCGTGGAATGTGTGTGTGTGTGTGTGTGTATAGAGGATGTTTCAAAGCTATATGTCAATACAGAATGATAATGGAAGAGAGCATCAGTGAAGGAAATTTATTACTAATAGTTAACACATTCTCTCAATATACAAGTTTGTTGTTGCGACGTTAAAAATAAGTTTTATTGAATATTACAAACCTGATTAATTATTTCGTTAACCAATATGGAAGAGGATGAAGAAACTTTAACATACAGATTTTAAATTTTGCTTTAGAATTGAAATTTAAAGAATTTAATAGAACATCAAGTAACATGTAACTTGTCTTATTACAAAAATTTCTTTACTGAAATAATCTATGTATATAGTAAACTGCTCCAAAACTTAGATCTTCAAATTTTATAAAAGAAAAAAAAAAAAAAAATAACAAAACTACACTTATGAAACAAGAGATATTCCTTCCATCATCCCCTATTATTCTCTCTTCTGAAGGGCCCTAAATTTCTGAAATAGCCTGTACATCAAGAGAGTGAGAAAAGGGAAGAAGATATCAGGAAAGGAAAGGGTAGGAGGTGGTAGAGAGCGGTTGCACGAGATAATGAGAGAACCGAGGGTGAAACAAAATGAAGCGATCTAGTATGGGCGGATCGTAGGAGCAGTAATACGAACAGGGTGTACCGTGTTGAGTAAGGCGAGTTAGGGCATACAAACCGCTGTGTAACGTATCAAATCGAGTGCTGAATCCCGGATTAAATCGGCGCCGGGTACGAAACACAGTAGGGTGAAAAGTGGGAGAAGGAGGGAGGAGGAGAGAACGACATCCGTGGAACGCCGGCAAAGACAAGGAAATCCACGTAGATACAATTTTGACTAACGCTAACGTTCGCGTGAATGGGAGACACGAACGGGCCCGAGAACTGTTCCCGTTTAATTTTATTCGCTGTAAACGCCGTCGGAGAAACATTGAACAAGAATATAATATACGTTGAAAGTGAAATGCGCGAAAAAGATGGGTTTTGGATTTCTTCCATTTGATAGTTGTTAGTAAACTTTATAAGTTATAAGCATAATTATAATCAACTTATCATGCTCTTTAATAATTTGAACGATCGATCGATATTTTGCCATTCGTAAAACACATGATTGACAGTGCAATAATAACAGCGATTACGACAATATTGAAACACCGGGTGACTTTGTTACCGAACATAACTGGGGGATTTCCCCTCTGATCCTCGGACACCCTAACTGCCCTTAACTTACTGAATTAGTTTCGCAAATTGAAGAATTCTTTATTTTCACTCCACTTTTCTTTTCCTCCACTCTGTCATTCTCTTTATCAAAGTTAAAGAATTTATTGTATGAATATATACAATAATATTGTATAATACATATTATAATATTAAAATAGGAATTTTTTAATAATTCTTCATAGATTGTTTTCGGTAAACATTATATAATTAATAATAATAAGATACAAATCTCTTCTATCTTTTAAAAAACAGCTCAAATTAATAATTTTGAAAAAAATCACACATATTTTGAACATCACAAGCTTTAATAAGCTTGTTGATATAATCCTAACATGTTAAAATTGTTAAATGATAGTTCGCTTCCACTTATTTTATCATAACCAAGTTATATCCCATGCATTGGCGCGTGTTATAAATAAATTTGAGTTATATTAAATTATGTTAAAAAAGACAGTATCAAAGACGACCCAATAATCAAAAGAAAAGAACATCGGTTTCTCTCTTTCGCCCTGCCTCCCTCCCCCCCTCCCCCTCGAACATCGTTTACCATCCCCCCCTTCTCTATTTATCATCCGACTACTCATCTGCTGACTTGTTATTAAATTAATCCTTCGTTTAGTCAAATTGATGCATTGATATCATAGAGCACTCATAACTCATGGCACCCTTTCCGCCACGATTAGTACACGCGCACAGCCGTTTTCACGCGCGACCCCTGATTCGAACGAAGTGAGGGGGACTCTACTCTCTGCAATTCCCTATTTGCGCCGATGCAGACTCCACTATTTATTAACATCATTACTTATCATTTCAACTACTCGTGCATCACGATGACGTCACCGGGATAAATGCATCCTATTGGAGGACGCACAGCCCAAGCTTTATTTAATGATTACCACTAGATGCTTCGATTAATGACTAATGAGATCTATGCGTTTCTTTCCAATCAGTGCCCCGTTCCAGTGTCGCTTCGATCGCATACTATTAGATCATTTTAATTGGATTATAAATAATTAAATATTTCGTATAACAGTTCGTTGAAATTAAAAATATATCGAAATGCTTAATGAAAAACAATCATACCATAAAAAGAAATATTTCAAAAATATGTGTATCTTTTATTTTACACATTACATACATGATTTTCGAATATCATTACCTCCACTTGAATATTCATAGTACGCATTGCATTACTGGTTATCAATAAAGTTTCGATTGCGCCAAAAAAAGGAAAAGAAAATAATTAATTTTGCAAAAAATGGTGAAGAAAAAGAAAACAGATCAAATCTCTAATAACACAAACGATTCGAAAGGTTTATCATCGAAAAGTTTGATTCAATCGATCATGAAATGACAGCAGGCAAATACTGTAATTGGTGGATATGCATAATTAGTATACGCGATAGAGACGTTGATGGCAGCGGAAGTTTTATTTTCTGTTTCTTCCTCGGAGCGTTTTCAATTTGAATACCGATTAATCTGACCGAATAATCTTACCGTATATTTCGTGCGGTCCTCCGATATTCGTTTGAGGGCATTTTTTAAAACTAAACGTTTCACTTTATCGTGGCATGCAGCAATTAATAATAACACGCAATCGGGCGTATCTTTTATAACCTTTCGGAGTATAAATCGCGAAATTCTGGAATTATCAGGCAGCCGGAATGAAAGGCTATTTCCGTCGCACGGAATCACGGGCAATATTTTACGTGGGATTGGGGTTGAACGCGGACACATCGACGTTTGATATTTTTATGCAGTGGCGCCACCGCGGAGAGATTTACGAGGCAGATATGCGATCACAAAATGTCCGACACTAAATCAAACATGTTGCATCGGAAAACATCAGAAATTATTATTGGGACTTTTATGGGATCGACGGGAGTGAAAGGAACGTACAATGTAACTCGACGCGCCGTTTCATTGCGAGTATCTTTCAAAGAATCTATTGCAGAATAAATCGTGATATATATTAGGCGTTCCGTTCTCTCGATTTTATATTCGGCACAAGGAAATGTTGTGATTAGTTTAGTAGATTGTCTATTGTACATTTTATATTATATATATATTAGTTAAATATTGCATTATGCGAATATTAGCACAATATAAGTAATAATAATAATTGAATTCTCATGATAGAAATTTTGATTAAATATTGTCGGACTTGAGAATTTATTTATATCAATCATATTCATACATGAATATATATGTATATAAATTTTATCATTTTACATTTTTTGGTAGAAAAAACTTCGCCATAAATCCATAAATACATCTTGTCAATACTCGTTAATCATTCTTAAATAAAAAAAATAAATTTTAGCTACTAATATTACTAAATTTGTGTATGTTTAATGCAAATAATTTATTAAAAAGTTGTCATTTTTATAAAATTACATATTATAAAATTTATATAAAATAGGAGTTCACAATGTTTAATTTATTTATAGATGTAAATAAATATATTTTTATCTATAACGGATAATTTATATAAATAACTTATATAAATATGAGGCAAAATTTATTCCTCTTTGTTAAATGAAATATATAATTTTTATATTCTATATATGGTAATTATTATATAAAATATAAATAATTAAAATACATTAAAGGAAATTAAAATTATAAAAATGTATTAAGAAGTTGATTCAATGAAACAAAATCTGCCGAAAATATTAAAGCTGTCATATTACTAATGAAGGAACACAAGTTTTTCTTCCATATCTTCTTTCTGCCGACCTTTTCATTCTTTATCCTTAGAAGAAATAAAGGCAGAGTCGTAACAGTGGATGATTAATATCCGGCTGACAGTTTGTGAAACGGGCAGCCAATAAACGGGATAAAAATACTGGTGAAAAATAGCGTGCTCATTAGGGGTACAGTGACATCTGCGACTGCTGCTTCGAAAGTCTTCGAGAAGCATGGAAAAGATTCTTGGATGAAGGGAACAAAGAAGACAGGTTTATTAAACTAATGGTGGATCATTTTAATATTCCAATGGAAACGCATTACGTTCGCTGATTCGTAAAACTTAATAACTTTTTTTCTGGATATTATTATCTCTTCTTCAATTCTCACTAAACTTAATAATTTATGCAATTAGAGGGAGAAATGTCAAATTGAATTAATTAAAGAATAAAATATTATAAAAATTTATTTATTCTAATTTTATTTTTATTATAAATATATTATAAATTTAATTTTTTCTTTTCAAATTAATTTCAACCGTTATGATTTTTAAAAGAAATCCTCAACAATTCAATATATTAAATAGAATTTTTCTATTTTATAATAAATGTGATGAAATTATAATTTATAAAAAAGTATTCTATCTTATAGATAATTAATATTTAATATATAACAAAAAAAAATTGTTTCAAGGCTTTTAAAAAAATGATTTTATGAACTTTTTAATCATTTATTAACTTTTTACTTCTGTATTAATTTTAAGTTAAAAAGCGAAATTATCTTTAGATGGCGCCACAATGCTAAAGATTTATGTCATGTATATATGGGCATTTCAAAGTAACAGTTAATTAATAATATTTGTTATTATTATATGCTTATAAAACAAATAGATTAATTGTGTAATAAAAGTTGATGTATTATTCGCTGTATTTGTATTTTTTTTATTGAAAAAATGTCTGATGGTAAATTGCTTGTGACATTATATAAATATAACCTGTTAATCTATTAAATTTTTGTTATGTTTGTATAAATTTTATTATTTAATTTAGATTTTTTAATCTAAATTCCGTAATACGTTATAGGTTCAGTTTCAATTTATTTGATTTACAGAAGAAGTGATACGCCGAAGATTACTTATAGATGGAGATGGTATTGGAGATGATCGTCGAATTAATATGCTTTTAAAATCATTCATAAAATGGGCAAATAGTCCAGATGCAGATAATACTTTACACGAAAGAATGTTATCTCAACTTGCTCAATGTGAATTTGCACAACGAAAATCTAGATTAGTCTCAAATATGAGTCAAGAAGAATTGAAAAGTTATGAACAGTTATCGAAAGAAATTGAGATTCAAATAGAAGAGGCTAAAAAAGATATTGAGAGAACAAAAGTAGAATTACAAGATGCAAAACGTGTTAGGAAAAATAGAATTGAATATGATGTATTGGCAAAAGTCATAAATGAGCAGCCAGATAGAGTAGAAACTAATCTAAAACTTGCTACATTACGTGAAGAATTAGGAAAGTTAAAAGTAAAAAAATTATATATATATATATATTATATAATTAAGTAGAAAAATTATGTTTAATTATTATTAAATTAAAATAATTATTCATTTCTAGGAGAAATCAGAACAACTAGAACACAAATTGGAAATGAGACGAAAACAATTTCATGTTTTAATATCTTCTATACATTCTTTGCAAGGAATGTTAGATGAATGTGATGAAGAAATAATGGATGTAAGTTTAGAAAATTATGAAGATGCAGATACATCTTCAAAGACTGAAGATCTTAAATAAAATTATTTTATAAAAAAAGTATTTCTAAATTTTATAAATGCTTTAATATACCAAAATTTATATTTTCGTATTTATTTTGCATCTATATCATATAATTTTACTTTAATATTAAATATAAGAAATATTTAATAATAAAATATTTTTAACATAACAAAATATTAAACAATACAAGAAATTACATATATTACCTTGTTATCCAATTTTTAATTTTAATTTACTGGTTTTTGGAACATGTCTAATAGTTAAAGATAATCTAATTCCACGTTTTAATGTTTCTCCACCAAGAAATTTTTCTCCACATACATCCAAATTTTTTATCACAGATTTTGAAATAACATCTGTGTCTCTTTCTGCAATTGAATGCAAATAATTATGATATAATTCTTCTTGAAGAATAAATAAACTTCGGCGTTCCAATAGAAGGCTGAACTCAAACTTAAGTTGATGTTGCTGAAATAAAATCTTGCAATTAGTTTATATTTGATTATAACTTTGTAAATTAATATCTTACCTCTATATTGTTAATTCGTTTATAAAAATCTAAAAGTGTGTGAGAGCCACAACTAATAGTTGTTACAATAGGATGAAATAATGGACCATCCGAATGTGCCTGATAAATATAAATTATAACATTTTACAATTATATATATATATATATATATATATATATATATATAT